ATTTCAAAGAAATATTTTTATCCTATAATTAATAAAATCACAAGTCCATTTATGTTATTATATTATACTGTGTGACAAGATTTTTTTTCAGTGTGGGGAGGTGGGGGTTGTAAATTTCTTATAGGGGATGAAATGCCTTGTTAAAATCGAATGAGGATTTGTTTATCCTTTTCGTCCTTAATTTATTGAACCAGACTCCAATGATGCGATTTTCCATCCTGGCAATATTCAACAAAAATGCTCATACAATTTTAGATGGGGTCATCAAAGGCATGAAATCGATATTTTTACATTTTAATGGTCTTTTCTCAACCCTGTTGAAATATATATGTCACTAGAACCCTATTTGTACATATATATTTTAATAAATTCCGTACTAAATCTTTATCATAAAAAATTGTCGAATTATTTAATAAATATGATATAGTTATGACAAATACGAAAAAAAAAATATATATATATTTCGAGGAAGCCAAATACGCCAAAAAATTTTCGAGGAAGAAAGAACTGGTTTCTCATATTTTTGAACGGAATATTTAGATAATAAAACCGGTTTTAATACCTTATGCATATCATTAGAAATTCTAATAAACAAACGGCCTAAATTTATTGAACAGGATTATTATCGGTTTTATTATCTGAATATCCAATATTCAACAATTTAGAAAACGGTTCTTTCTTTCTTGAAAATATTTTTTGCGTATTTGACAAGGGTTCGAGATAGAAGGACCAAATGTTAAAGTTTTGCGAACTTTGACCGATGGCGAATTTATCCTTATGGAATTTTTATATACTCACCAAGGTCATTCAACCTCAATAGGAATTTTCCACACGCCAAACCCTTACATCGGTTTTGTCTCACAGTGTTATTGAGGAGGAAGGAAGTAACCGATTTCATCCATACTTAATATCTAGATATTTCTTCCCGACATAGTTCAAGTTCGAAGATCAATATGATCAAAATTTTGCTTAAAATTAATTTAATAATAACATTGAACCAAACTATTATCTTTAACAAGCCTAGATGAAGTCAGAAGATTGGTCCACTCCTTCTGGTACCTCCCCCACAAATGGTCAAAATGTTCAATATATATAAATCAAATATCAGGCGAATGGATGTCGGATTTGAAGATGGGTCAATTGGTTCACACCTTCTGGTACCTCCCTCACCATTAGTCAGAATTTTTCAATAATTATAAGTCCAATATTTGGCGAGATGACTATCTGATTTGAACAAAAACTTTGTACAACCTATTACCTTTATCAAGCCGGTATCAAGTCCGAAGGTGGGTCCATTGGTCTACCCTTTCTGGTACCTCCCCCACAAATGGTCAAAATTTTCAATATTTTTTTAAATCCTATATTAGGCGAATGGGATGTCGGATTTGAACCAAACGTTGAACAAGCCTAGATGAAGCCAGAAGATGGGTCCATTGGTCTACTCCCTTTGATACCTTTGATACTAATATATATGATAAAATCCAATATCTGGCGAGAGGACTATCTGATTTGAACCAAATATTGTGCAACACATTCTCATTATCAAGCTTATATCCAAAGGTGGGACCCGTTCTGCCTCTCCCCTTTGGTACCTTCGCCAGAAAGGTCAATATTCTATACTTGTAAATTTAATTTGAATCAAATTAAATAACCGATTTGATCAGCATAACATCTGAAACCTCTTTGATAAAAACATATGCCTTATATAAAGCGAATAATAAAACCTGTGTGTAATTCCGACGACCTCCGCATATCATAGGGTACATCAGGGACGTACGCATACATTTTTTCACCCGAAATAAATTTTTTCACAGTAAATTTTTGTTTGCAACAGCGAAATGAAATTCTGTGTACGTTGCTGGGGTACATGTCTATCGGCGAAACCGACGTTATTTTACTTGATTTTGTACATTTCTGTGCTACACCACACGACTTTTTTTGAACGATTTTTAAATCGTTTGCGATATGCAACGAACTGAACTGAATTTTAATGGTAAAAGAAATGTCGCTATCTAATGTCACATGTCGATCTTGCAGAATTAGTCGTACGTCAATCTGTTCTGAGTACATTTATGCTAAAAAATTCAAACATTTTAAATTTCAAAGTTCATTAAAATTTCGATCCGAAATGTCATCTGATCATCATCGAAATTACAGATGTCGTCGTTGACCATAACCGGAACCATCATTCCATGTTTCCTAGCCATCACCGTTATATTTCCGCCCCTTAGTGTGATATTGGTTGAACAAATCTCCCACATCTGAGTACATACATCCTCTCCGGTGTATGTCCTTCAGGACAAACTATTGTTAAATTACATTTTCTTATTTTCACAAAAAAGTCTGGTTCCGTTTGACCCGCTAAATGTTTACCAATCTTCATCCAAACAGTGAAATTTTTCTGTGATCCCCTTTCTCTGTGTAACATTTAGTGATGTTCGAGACATAATTGTGGCCTTTAGAGCAACCACAAAAGTGACAAAAATCAATTTTTTTAATACATTTAATCTGCTAAATATTAACCGACCATTGCAAAAAAACCAAAAGAGATCTTCTTCGGCCAGAACCTGTCCAACATGCAAAATTTCGTGACGATTGGTCCATAACTGTGACTTGTATCGTAATGGACAGTCGGACGGATATACATGTCTAGATCGACTGAACTAGTCGAGGTATGACGACTAGTTATACTATAATATGGATCTAGAATCGATTCTATTTCGTGGCGATACAAAATCTTGGTGCCACACAAAGCTATAATATCCTGACGACATAGTTGTGTAAGGTATAAATATTGCACTTGGTGGCAATAATGAAATTGTCTTGAAATTATTTTACTTGATGATCATCACCTATGATAAGCTACAGCAGTCAGATGATGACTGGGGCTACCATCTATTGGTGCCAAGAAACAAGGTCTTTTGGTGTTTTATGCAGTGGTTTGGGACCTTGCTTTATTAATTAGTGGTGCCATTTTTGGCTGGCTGGCGCTATCTCCTGGCATTCTACATTTGTGGTATTCACATGTGTTGATCTCGAGATTAGTTATAAGATTATCAAGGACTTTAGAAGTACTTCAGCTCGAGTTTTATGTAAGCCTCTTTTTACAAATATTCTATAACCATATTGAAATAATTTTTACTTATCCGCTGGGGTTCGAACCCTGTAATCTGTAATTCCATATAAACTATTTTAGAATATTTTAATTTCCAAATTAAAATTTTCTTGGAAAGTATTTCGTGCTAGAATGGATAGAAATTCGGGTTTTTTTAGTAAATATTTACATAATTTTCAAATTTATAGGAGTTAATTTTTTTCTTAATTTTAGTAGGCATTAAAAAATGCTTCAAGCTTTATATTAACGCTTTTAGTTAAGTAGGAGCCAGCATTAGAAGGTAGCATATTAAGTTTTAATTTATATTAAAAGTGTGGGTACCCAATGGTACTACCATAAAAATATAGTAAAAAAATAATAATACCTATGGACCTCCAGCGTTGTGCGGGTAATCATTTCGGGGTAAGTGATAAATTTTAATTTTTATAAAAAAAATTCTAATTGAATTCTTTTTTTAACTTTTTTCATACTGTAGCAAACTAAGTTTAATTGTGTGAAAGCTCTATCTGTGTCTACACTATTACTTATTTTTTTATAAGTAAAAAAAAATATCTGCAAAACACAACAACTATTTAGAAAAAAAACTAAATCATTTAAATCACTAAATATTTTCAAAATACACCACCCCCCTCTACTTTCCTTAAACCCTCAAAAGAAAAAAATTAAGAATCATCTGCAGTTGGAATCATTCTTTCATCCAGCCATTTATATTGTTTTAACAGAAAAGCACTTTGCAAATGCATGAGCTTTTGAAAGTTATTTTATCCAGTAATAAAAATGATAATAATAAAACATAAGCTATGAAGCACGTTTTGTTGGCTTATGAGTATGAAATAATAAGCTTTTTTGTCTATGCAAGAGAAAAAATATCTTAAAAAAAGCTTTTTTAATGAATGCTAATTTTAAGTATGTAAATAATATTGAAAAAAATAATTAATGGTAAATATATATTTATATAAAATTTTGTGTGTGAGTGTGAACCCATGAGAAACGCCAACGATCCTGTAGCCTCTTAGGAAATCTAGAAGAGCAAACCACGTAAAATGAAAGAGAATATGAAGATCATTAGATGGACTTATATACGGAGTAAATAAAAGAGAATTTAGTGTCCACGAATTTATTTTATTAATGTGTATCATTCATAAGATTACAACTCTATCGCCCGCTCGTTCGCTATCAGTATATCACTAAATGTTTCATGCATTGTGTATAACCCCCTCTCTCTCGCTCTCACGTTAAATAAATAAATGTCTCTCCCTTATTTTAAGTTGTATTTCAAAAGCTCTTGTCATCAAAAGAGAAGTCATCCTCTCTCATCAAACATTCTCATCTCTGAATATATGTCGTTGTATTTGTAATTATCTCCCTATCTTTATCGATCTATCTCTCTCTATCTTTGGATTTATAACGATCATTCGCTAACTCTCATAATGTCGCTCATTTTGAACTAATAGTGTAAATTTTTCATTTCTTTAGAAAAAAGTACTCTTTCATTTTTTCTCTCTCTCTTTCGTTCTCAGTTTTAAATCACTATTCATTAGTTTTTGATTATTTTTCATAAATTTAATATTTAATTACTTATTTGTAAATTGGTGTCGTTACTCTCATTTAAAAATTGTCTTTAGTTGTTTCTCTTTCTCTTTTAATCAAAAAAAATTAAATATTTTAATTTTTCTTTGTGCCTTAGTTTCATGTTTTTATTGTTTTTCTGTTCTATTAAACTTTGTGTTTTTCTTTGTTCGTTAATTTCTCTAACATCTCTCCCCGTCTTTCTCTATCTCTCTCCTAGAGAATCTTTTTTTATGATCAACAATAATTAATATTTTTACTATTTCTCATTGAAACACACAAAAAACAAACCCAAAAACAAAATCGAAACCTACAGACCCGTCGGCTTCTGGGGCAAAATCGTTGGTTCGCTATGTGTGATAGCTGGTGTACTGACAATCGCTCTACCCGTACCCGTTATTGTGAGTAATTTCAATTATTTCTATCATCGCGAAACGGATCAAGAGGAAATGCAGAGTCAAAACTTCAATCATGTTACAAGCTGTTCATATATGCCTGGTGCGTTAGGTAACTGTCACCCTTTTGTTGTCTCTCCCAACTATGTGTCTATCTCTCTCTCTCTCTCTCTATCCATTAGTAATACTCTCTTTATGTAGTTATCTATTGTCTCTTTTCTTACCTTTCACTCTATAGAAATTTACAATCAATAATAATTGTTTCTTTCTCAAAAATGTTCTCCAGGTCAACATTATCGAAAATCTTCCTTGTCTGAATCATCGTCAGATATTATGGATTTAGATGATGGCATCGGTACACCGGGCCTGACTGATCATCCAGGTCGTCATTTAGCTCCATTTCTAAGGACTCAGCAGTCATTCGAAAAACAGCAGCTACAGCTGCAGCTCCAATCACAACAACAACAGCAACAACAACCTCAACAGAATGGCATTCGAGGGTCTAGCAATTTAAACCAGAGGCACAATAGTGCCATGGCGGTCAGTATTGAAACCGATGTCTGACTACTGGGTAAGTATTGAATATTAACTATTTATATAAACTAAAACGAAATATCATGCCTCAGGATAATATGAAGTAGCGGTTTGATAGGTCTAATATTTAAATAGGTCTAATGTTTAAATTTTTTCCAAGGGCTAATAATAGGTGTGCTAATAACAGGCGTGGACTTTTTTAAAAATATTTTCCAAGGGCTAATAATAGGTGTTCTAGTAACAGGTGTGGACTTTTGTAAGAATATTTTCCAAGGGCTAATAATAGGTGTGCTAATAACAGGCGTGGACTTTTAAAATATTTCAATTGTGGACACTGACCTCCTCCGCGGTGCCACCTGTGGAGCTATTTTCATCACCCGATGAAATAGTGAGCTAATATGTGCTGCGAGTACTTGTAGTTAGTTAGTAGGAAAACCCAACCTACTATGAAAAAGCAAAGAAAAATGAACATCAAACCCCCACGATCTGCGAATCTGCACTTGGAATGGGCGCACGTTGTACAGAACAGCCGCAGTTTTCGCTTTGGCGGATGAACTCAAGAAGTAAAAAGCCGATATTATTGCCCTACAGGAAATGCGATGGAAATAGACTGGCGTAAGTAAATCAGATGATTACGCACTGTATTATAGCTGCCATGAAACGAGACATGAATTTGGCTGCGGATTTATAGTTACCAGGAGAATAAAAGACCTCGTCTCCAGATTCACTCCAGTATATGAGCGAATTGCTATAATCCGTATAAAAGCGAAGTTCTTCTACATCAGTCTCATTTGCGCCCATGCTCCGACCGAAGATAAAGATGAACAGACCAAAGACATATTTTACGAGCGCCAAGAAACAGCATATGATCGTTGCCCGGGCCATGAGATTAAAATTCTGCTAGGAGATTTTATTGTAAAAATCGGAAGGGAAAAAATCTTTGGCCCCACCGTCGGAAAATCCAGCCTCCATGAAGAAACATCAGACATTGGCATGAGGTTGATTGACTTCGCGTCAGCAAAAAACATGGTAGTTAACAGCACCAGATTCAAGCATCTCGATATACACAATACCACTTGGATTTCTCCCGATCGAACAACGATAAATCAAATCGATCATGTTGTGATGTACGGAAGGCATTCATCCAGTGTTCTAGACGTCCGATCGATCCGAGGAGCAAATATCGATTCGGACCATTACCTTGTGGCAGCCAAGGTACGCACCCGTCTTAATCTAGCGGCAAAGGTGCGATCTAATGTAACACGGAAACATGACGTCGAAAAGCTGCAAACACAACAGATAGCAGAAGCCTACTCCGCTCAACTTACCCAACTGCTTGACGAAAGCACCCCTTGTCCCGATAATAATATAGAAGTACTGTAGCAGAGAATTGCCCACTCCCTACAAACTGTAGCAAAAGCAACACTTTATTACCAAAGGTCACCATAAAAAAACCGTGGTACCATCAGGAGTGTCGTAATGCTACTGATATGAACAACGCAGCGTATAGGGCAACCCTGCGGAGAGGGCAGGGTTTCTAGGGCAACAGGAAGAAAATGAGAGAGGAGAAACGTATTTTCAGAACAAGAAAAACGTGAGCGTGAGCAAATCGAGATGTTCAGGAGTCACAATGAAGTCCGGAAATTTTACCTGCGAGTAAAACACCAAACCGAAGAGATGAAGAAGGGAACAGATATAGACAGCGTGCTGAGAAACTGGAAAGAGCATTTTGAAAAACTTCTGGTATCAAATAGGTGAAGAAAATACCCCAGAAACAATAAGAGAAGATGGTATAGATTGTATACCACCTAGCTAAGATGAGGTCAAAATAGCAATCAATCGGCAAAAGAATAATAAACCAGCAGGTGCCGCTAGGTTACAAGCCGAACTATTCAAGACTGGTGGTCAGATGCTGGTAAGGAGCATGCACCAGCTGATTAGTACAATTTTGCTGGAAGAATGCATGCCGAATGATTGGAACCTCAGCATCCTGTGTCCCGTGCACAAAAAAGGAGACAAGACGATATGTGGCAACTATAGAGGAATAAGTCTCCTTCCCATCGCATATAAAGTGCTATCCATACATTATTGGACAATACCAATGTGGCTTCAGACCTGGCAAATCCAACATTGACCAGATTTTCACTCTGTACCAAATCCTGGAAGAAACCCACGAAAAACACATCGACACATTCCACCGCATTCGACAGCCCTATCCATTCAGAGATGTATAAAGCCATGTCTGCGTTTGGCATTCCTGCAAATCAGCTGTTAAAGTTGGAAAGGACCTCTCGGAGCCCTTTAATACCGAACGAGGATTATGATTCAGGTGATAGTTTGTCGTGAGACTTTTTTAACATCCTGCTGGAAAAGGTCATACGAGAGGCAAAAGTGAACAGAAATGGCACTCTGTACACCAAACAACACATGTTACTCGCCTAGGCCGATGACATCGACATAATGGATCGAACATTGAGAGCGGTAACAGCCACCAAATTGAGAAGGAGTCTGCCAAAGTGGGTCTGGCAATAAACGGCGAGAAGACCAAGCTGATGGTATCAATGCGCAAGACGTCCAGAAGACTCTTGGGAACTACAGCTTCGAAGTAGTCAAAGATTTTATATACCTTGGTACCGCCATAAATAAAACGAATGACATAAATTTTGAAATTCGGAGAAGGATAGTGATGGATAACCGATGCTACTATGGTCTGAGCAAACAACTCAAAAGCAAGGCCACCTCCCGCCAGACCAAACTCACACTCTACAAGACCCTGATACTACCCGTGCTGTTATTCGGATCTTAAGCATGGGTACTTACGCAAGCAGATGAGGCAGCTATTGGAGTGTTTGAGAGAAAATTTTTCCGAAAGATCTATTTTCTAAGCTCGGCCTATGGAACGAAAGTTCTTTCACAAGCCAGCTAAGTAAGTAATAACAGGCGTGGATTTTTAAAAAAATATTTTTAAGAGCTAATAACAGACGTGGATTTTTTAAAAACATCTTTCAAGGTTCTATTAAAAGACAAATGCAACTTCTATTTATCTGCATCGACTGGATAAAATGTTTCTATTCCCTGAGGACTGATATTTTTGTCTTAACTATCAATTAATCTCAAATTAAATTAACTGTAAAATTAAATAAATTAAATTTTCTTTTTCTTTTCAGTAAAAAACGTGGAGCATAGTATTAATTGGCGTCGTGAAATGTTACGCTGGATGCCTGAAACAACATCAAAGGCGGTCTAAGAGATCGCTCTGTTATGGCCGGGGGTTTTTCCTATTAGGAAAATCTCTGCCCAAAAAGCAAAAGAGAAAAACAAAACAAGCAGAAAAGCAACAAAAAATAAAATAAATGATGAAGACACATAAATAGAATAGAAATGAAAGTGACGCAAAAACAAATAGTAGAAATATTCTTTTTTGTTTTCTTTTTTTTTTTTTTTGTAGAGGAAAAACCAATCCAATTAAAAAATAAGCAACAACAACAAAGCAAAACAACAAGTGATGAAGCCGAGACAAGACGTAAAGAAAAAACAATAAATTTATATATTTATTATAGTTATGTTTAATTTCCAAAAAAAAGTTTAATTTAATTTTTTTAGAAAAATGTGAGAAAAAAAACAAATGTTTTCAAATAAATTTGAAAATACCAAAGAACAACAAAACATTTAGCAAATATCATTGTTAGTAAAATATGAAAGTAAATTAATAAAACAAAAATAACAAATACAAACGGAACTATATAAAAAAAGAAAACAGAAAAACAAATCTAGAAGACAAAAAAGCAAAACAATTTTTTTAAGAACAAAAAAAGCTAAACAAAAAAAGAATTATAAACAAATTAGCTTAAATTTATTAACAAAAAAGAGTAAGGAGAAGAACAACAACAAACAACATAAAAAGGTTAATTAGAACAATTGGTTTATAAAACAAATTATTAGTATAAAGTAAATAAGATAAATTATTAAAAAAAGAGAAACCACACATAAATGAGAATGAGAGAAGACGACACACAATAATGTGAAAATGTTAGATATTAATTTAAAACTAAAAAAAAAATGAAATAATTAAATTATTAATATTAAAACAATGAAAATAATTAATAAAATAAAAATATTACATTAATTTATGTTAAATAAATTTATAATTTATTAGATAATTAAAATAAACAAACTACCAACAAGAACAACAAAAGACAAAAAAATAAACAAAACAATTTGAAATAAAATTCAAAAAGTCAAAGAAGGGGATTTTCACCATTATTAATAAAATAATTTTGAATTTTATATATGTATATGTAGATAAAATTTGCTCAAGAAATATTGAAAAATTAAAAGAAAAATTATAAAATTTTATTACCAAGGATTCTTTATATGGAAGCGCTAAATTTTGATAAATAATTTCCCATACACTGAATATAAAATTATTTAAAAATCGTAATATATGGGACTCTATTTTAATGAATGTAATTCTGAAATATGTTTTACTGTTACCGACAAATATTGGTACGGGTTTAAAATATATATTTTTCATTAAAAAAAATAACATTTAGGTAAATCTTTTGACATCCGTTGGTACGGTTTAACGAATACTTCAGTTATACACCATTTTCGTTATGTAACTGAATAATAAACAAATGAAAATATGCAGTACTGCAGCTCTGCTGGTGTTCTAATATATTAAAATGAATTCGCCCCGATTATATTCCCTAAATCGATTTATAACATAGGTCTTGAGTTATTCTACTTGAATCTAAGTCCATATGTATTACAAATTAAATTAAAAATTTGAATAATAGATCTGTGACCTTTTTGAATAAATAATCACATTAAATGTTTTACTGTGACGAAGGCGCCATCCAAATCAGCGGATACCAAAAACATTAAAAAAGGGTACCTTTGAAAAATTCGAAATATACAGTCAAAGATAGAGACTCCTTCGTTGATCTACTAATAACTACTGCCACGACCTGGAAATTAAATTCTGAAAAAGGGACCGAAAAGACTCGTTCAGCATATTTGACATTGCTCACGTTTATATCAGTAATATTGCCAAAGACAACATATGCCTAAAATGCAAGAATTTCGAGAAATCCTAATCCGAATATTTTCAAATCTCCATAAATGTGGGAATATTGCGCCCCCTTTTAAGGTTACTTCCCGACGTAAACTTTCAATACGCGGATACACTGCGAGTTTCCCGATTGTTATTTTTTGTGTTGCACAGTATTATAGTTCCTTTTTAATACATTGTTTTTGTAAATTATCCTGAAGAGCTAACATTTGAATGCAACGGATTTAATATTCTACTGTACTGCGAATAGTCAAAATTATATTGGAAAATTTTTAAAACAAAGCTTATTTTTTGTACCTAGAATCCAGCAAAAAAGGTCGAACCCGACTACGTATTGTTGATGGAGACATCTACATCTCAGACCTATTTCTAAATCAGGAATAGTTTTTCGGACGTGTTTGAGTGGGGCTATCTTCTGTATGAGGCTATGGCGAGAGATATGATGCGAGTTAGGCCTTATAAGCTCCCAATGCAGTTTTCAGGCATTGAAGCAAGTTGTCCTATTAATTTGTTTGGGATAAAAAAAAATAATATATGGTTCTGATCTGAAAACAAATATGAAGCGTAGTTTGCGTTGGAGATTTAATGAGCAATAGTTTGGTTGAATTAGGCGGATTTTTTCATATTCTTTTAGATTACCGACTAAAAAAATACCGAATAAAATCACGAAAAATCCCTGTGAAGTTATCATACAATCGACGGCAAGCATAACGAAGTCTATGTAACTTCCGGAAATTATGCCAGTTCCGAGTCGGGAGCTTCATCGGTTTTCGATTTCTTGTTTAAAAAGTCTTCATATGACTGGGGTATACGCATGTAGTTGATGATATAGTTTCAAATTTAGCCGAAATGCGGCCTTTTCTTTGTCTTTCAACAGCTTGACAGGTCAATCCCAATTTTTGTAGAATCCATATTTTTGTTGGGCAGCATGGAATCTAACAATGGCTAAATTTGTAATTCTATACATTTTAGAAGTATATGCCGGACTTTAATTTAATTTATTAAGTATTGTAACAAGGCCAAATAGGCCATTTAAGTTACATAAAACATAACTTATATTACTCGGAGGCCAACAAGCCTTGAGTGTTATTGTTAAATAATCGATGCCAAAATTTCCAGCGAGTTGTTGACACTGAAGCTTCTTAAAACTTGTTGGGACCATTTTATCTATGTCATAGACGATTAAAGTGAGAACTTTAAAGATGCACTGAACTCTGCATCATAATGGCGGCGAATAGATTTTATTTGAAATATGATTCAGCATGTTGGGCCAGTGCTTTAGCTGATGTATTTCATTTAAACAATTTACTATCCCGCAAATATCGCAATTTTTTAAAATTATTAAAAAATTATGGCAGAAAATATCTGTACTATAGACCATCCAACAAACAGTGAGACATTTCTTGAAATAACCTCAATATACAGCTTTTAGAAAAATACCATACCAGATCTTTAGAAAAATACCATTTAAAAAAAAATCATCCATATCGTAAAAAAGTCCGCATTTCGTTACCTCCGAGACCATATATATGGTCTTAGTCGTACAGGCCGTCTATAGATATAAAAAATGTTGACAGACCATCTTCGTGAGATCGAGTGACCTGTGAATGAAGTCCTCAAAATACTTTTTAAAGTCATTACAACTGTAAAATACCTCTTAAATGGGATCCAATAAAGCTCCTGAAACGTGTTATAGGCAATGTTCAGCCTCCTGAAAGCTCTTCAGAGGTCTCATGAAGGCTATTATATGTTTATTAGACTATTCAATAAACACTATTGTGTTATAGAAAGGGTTCTTGTTAAATGTTATAATTTTAAGAAATTACATTTAAAAAAATAAACTTTGATGAAATTCCTCCTGCAGAGTTAAATTCCTGAAAGGTCTAGAGAGGTCCCATTAATGTTTATTAGTATAAATTTGTTGGTTAAGGGAAGTTATTCCATTAAAAAAACATATTATTCAATAGAAAGGGTTCTTATTTAATACTATCATTTGTAAGTCCTTTTGTCTACAAGAAGTATGCAAAATGTTCTCACAATATCCTTAACTTTTAGAAAAATGTTCATAGATCTTCTTGAAAAACTGTAAAAAAATCTTATGGAATTCCTCTTGCAAAGTTCTCTTTATAGTCCTGCTGTAAAATATATAATTTATGAAAGTCAAGCAATAACATAACCTCACATTGAAAATGCTTCAATCTGTACAATAACTTTGAAAGCTCTCCTATATAACTTGGAGAATTTGAAAGTGCTTTCTAATTTCTGCTGAGGTATTGTGTCCACAGAATGACTTTCTATCAAAGGGTAAAAGGACTTTTTATTTATCTTTAAAAGAAACGCTCCTATTTGCAGAAGACTCTCTGAGAAATTTTCTGTTCCTATATGAAAGTCAAGCAAGAACATAACCTCACATTGAAAATGCTTTAATCTGTACAATAACTTTGAAAGCTTTCCCATATAATTTGGAGAATTTGAAAGGCGTTTCTAATATCTGCTGAGGTATTCTGTCCACAGAACGAATTTCTACCAAAGGAAAAAGGACTTCTTCTATTTATCTTCAAAAGAAACGCTCCTATTCGCAGAAGACTCTTTGAGAGATTTTCTGTTTACATAAAGGATTTTTAGTCAGAAGAAAATCACTGTATTTTGAAAATCGTATCATCTTAAAATACAGAAGAGTTCTACAAACTCCTTGTATACAATATATGATATAAAAGGATATTTATCCTGTCCATTCGATTGCAGTTTATATACGATTTTTGTGCAAAACTTCGTAAGAATAGAATTTTTGTATTTATTTTAATATTTTATAAAAAATTTACTAATTACCGAAAATATTATCAAATTAATATAAGGCTGAAAAATATGTCCTACAACACATGTTTTAAGTCCATCTTCGGTTCTCAACAAAATATCCCTTCTCTGATTAGTACTTCTGAATTATATTTCATATTGTAATGTTGTAATGCAAAACGATATTAGAGAAATAAATGCTAATTAAATAAAAACAAAACTGCCGTTAATTTAAAATAATATTACAAAACAAAAAATATTAAAAAAAATAAAATAAATAAAAAAGAAGAAACACAGAAATACCTTAAAAAACCAAAAAAAAAAACAAATAACATACTGTAAATACTAGGCAAAAAGAAATTAAAAATAAAAATAAAATATGCAAAAAAATAAATCA